AATAGATTTTTATAGAAATTTATCAAAGTTTTTAAACAGCCACATATTCCAGTTCAAACCAGTGATGAAATAATTTACTAAATTTTTATCTCCTGCAGTTAAATTCAGTGAAGATAAGTGAAAAACGTATTTATGAAAAGAAATCGGTGATCGATATTTGACAGCTGACATTTTGATTCACAGTTGGGAGTTGTTAATGCTTTACTGAGGGCTGCATTCCATTCCTGCATTTGTTCATCATGTTTAAAAATGCTAACAAGCCGAACTCTTTCTAATTGGAATGCTGACCTCATCAGTACTGCTGACTTTTCGTCACTCTTGCACATCAAAATGTGTGCCATGCCAGATGGAAAGCAAAAGTTAAAACCTGTGGCTTGCATCATATCTTAAAATCAATTCAGTCCCTCGTTCTGAGCTTACAGGGAGAAGCGAGTTATATCGGAGTGAAGGAATGACTTCAGCAGAACCAGGAACAGGCTCAGGAAGAATTGTTTGCTTCCTCTGGTTGGAAGTCGGGAGGAAAGGAAATAAGGTGTTCCGTACGTCAGACCCACAATATTACATTTCAGAATGACGTAAGTTTCTATTGCAAACTGCTACCAACAGCATCAACAAGTATGGGTGTATGTGTTGTGATCCTGGTCCTGAACACAATACTGTTTCTGGTTCTAAAAGGTCCTGCAGTCTGATGGATCCATATTTGAATTCTGATCTAAGGAGAAGATGTGCATTAGTGCATGTTCACCTTCCGCCCTCCAAGCGGACCATTAACGCACAGAGATGTGCACAAATGTGATCCAAACGCTGCCAGGAGGTGACATCTGTTTTCTCCATCAGACAAAAAGCTTTTCTGTTTACTTTAGAAGTGCCGTCCCGTTTGGAAACGCACTAATATTCATCATTACTTTTATATATGAGGATTGCTGTATAGTCACTGACACTAGTCAGTGACTTGATGCAATTTGCTGGGTTCCTTATAAAGGACACATTATTTCTGATTGGCTTAATGAACTGTGAATTGGAATGTTTATAATTTGAAGTGCCTTGAGACGACTCTTGTCGTGATTTGGCGCTATATAAATAAACTTAAATTGAATTGAATTGAATATTTAAGTATAATTTGCATTTTTGACCCAATCACAGCTCGTGGGAATTTAAACCATTAACCTTTCCACGCCAGCTCCAGGGCTCTTTCGCTCCTCTCCTCTGTGAATGACAGATGTCTAAGGTCAAATCACAGCAGTTCAGGCTGAGATGGAGGCAGTGAGATGGAGCTGATGGTGTCAAATTTCCTGTTTCATCACAGCTCACACCCTTTCCTTTATATTCTCTTCTGCCAAAGAGGCAGAGTCATCAAAACGTGATGCCGACCCTCGTGCAGACTGAGATAAAACTTGAGAAAATGAAAAGTGTCGGGCAGAGTTAATGTTTTGTGTTTTATTACAATGTGATTTTTTTCCCTCTTCATCTCACAGTGGCGTGGGAATAATCTCATGATCTCATCTCCCCCATCACAACGACCCCGAAGGTAATCATATTTACACGGCCTTATCTACTTAGCGGTTAATGACATGCTGCAAGCTCACCATTGTGCTATTACACCTCTTTATCTTCCATCCTATTATTCATGTGATCTGATTTCAGCCGCACCGCTGAACATTTACATATCCGTTCAATCACACTCCACTGACTAATAAGTTTCGGCTTAATTAAACGCATTTGCATGTGGTGAAATCCCATCATGCGGCATAATGAAATGAGCCCAGTGTGATCGCAGGTTGTCAAGGTGTGTGTAGAACAACGGGTATATTTAGCCAAGCTGCCTCTGGGTAGAAACAGCGGTGAGTTTAACAGAGCCACAACCTGCTATGGAACGATTGTGCACTTTTCAGGAAAGTCAGATCTAGCAATGAGGGATAAATCTTCCACCTCATGGAGCTTTTTGAATTTTGCGCTTCCAAATAAGGATCTTATAGCACGAAGTTGAGCTTGATCCCAGATAAGGTCGAAGGTTGTCTCCAGTCCTGCTTGCTGTGTCCATGAGAAGGACTTTAGGGCATAACCCTTGAGAGAAGGCAAACGTCAGGGTTTCGTCTAATGTTAGTGTCGTTTGTCAAAGACCTTTTTTTTAATTTAACCTTTATTTACCCAGGAAAAAAGTCCCATTGAGATTTAAAACCTCTTTTTCCAGGGAGTCCTGCAGCAAACCACACAAATATACAAGACAAAATTTACAACAATTTAAACTTGTATAAGAACAATCTAAAATAAAATAACTAACAACAAAGTTAAGTAAAATATATAAAACTTTAAACAAGTCCGAAAATAAAAACAGTCTAAATAAAACTGTTGCATGTTATTGAGTTGCTCTCAAGATTTCTTAGTTTAGATTTAAAAACATTCAGTGAAATAAACTCTGTCATCTTCCTTTTTTCCTGCAAGCTGATGGCGCTGAATGGGCAAAAGCTCTCTTTCCAAGTTCAGTGCGTACAAATGGGACAGAAAGCAGCAAAGTGTCTTGTAAACGAAGAGAATAATGACCTGCAATTTTCATTTTAAGTAGGGAAGTTATATAGGAAGGTAGCAGACCAAGTAGTGCCTTATATATAAATCTGAAAAAATGAGACTTCCTCCTGATGGTCAAAGCAGGCCAACCCATCTGAGAGTACAACTCACAATGATGAGTCGACTACTTACGGTTAGTAATAAACCTTAGAGCAGCATGATACACTGTGTCAAGTGACTGAAGACATTTAGCAGAAGCGTTCATATACAAAATATCTCCATAATCCACCTTAAGGGTGCACTAGGGTGGAGTAGAATGGGACAAGAAATAAACCAACAAAAACGGGTTTCAACCCTATTCGTTAGTTATGGACTACGACCAAAAGAAGAAAATCCCAGGTAAAAGCAGAGTAGTCGGGCTCAGCCTTAAGCCCCGTACTAGAGATGTGGACTCGAGACACATGACTTGGACTTGAGTCAGACTCGAGTCATTATTTAATGACTTCTAACTTGACTTGATCAAATCTATAAAGACTTACGACTTGACTTGGACTTGAACGCCAATGACTTGCGACTTGAATCGACTTGCATCTGTTGACTTGATGACTTGAGCATATTTGACATTTTAGCACAACAGTGGCAGGACATGGACAAAAGTCATAATCATTTTTCATTCTGGGTTGGATCTTGTACGGCTGAATGCAGCAGCACTTTGTTTATGATCAAGTTCAGTTGCACTTTCTGCTTGTTTGAGCAAATAAATGAAGCTTGTAATGTAGCAAGTCCATTACACAAGCTTTTGTTATGGTTTTGTATGATAAATGAAACCAGACACAATAACAATTTGTTAAATGTTTATTTAAAAAGGTAAAGAGTGCAGACCTGCAAGAAGAAGAGTGGGTATGAGTCTTGAAGATTTAAAATGGTAAATGATTGTGTCTGTACTTTTCTGTTTCCTTTGAGCTTCTTGGAGTGTCCCAGCTAAAAGAGTCCCCAGGAGCTGGAGCACCTAAAGAAGGTTCCAGAGCATTCCATACATGATGAATAGGAGGGATGACCTGTGAAATTACTCTAAGGAATGCAGATTATTTTCACTGAATGTCTTTAGGATTGATTAAGGATATTTCCATTTTTGTATTGTAATTTATTGAAGAAATCTTATTGATGAAGAGTTAAGGATAATTTTAAGAACATTGAGAGGTTGTATTTTTGTACTTACCTGTGTCTGTGTTTTAGGATCAGTCCAATTAGTCACACCTGTTATAAAATACAGCTCTGTGTTTGTTAGAGAGTAGATAGAGATGGATGGAGCAGCATGTAGGGACATTTGCTGCTGCAGCAAAGCTTTTAACCTGTAAAAATGTAAATAAATGCACTTGGGTCTGCACTGGACATCGGCCTCCTCAGGATCACTTTATCCTCCGGAGCGCATGAGGGTTATCCTGATAAGTGTCCTAGGTGCCACAAAGCTTTAAGAAGCTTTATTTCTGGGATTTATTGATGATCACTGTCATTAAATTGAAGTTAGATAGATGACTTGGACTTCCACGTCATTGACTTTGGGCTCAACTTGGAGTTGGTTGTCTTTGACTTGGACTTGACTGGAAAGACTTGTGACTTAAGCCTGATTCATGCTTCTCCGTCAGCTCCGTAAGGGACAGACACGCACGGATTGACAGAAGCGTTTTGCTCTCATACTTCTCCGTCTCCTGGGGGAGTGTTGCAAAGCAATTCCCCGCCAGGACAACAGAGGGCGCAGCGCTGTTCTGAGGTATCCTGTCATGTATCGGTCCATGATAGTGTGTTTATATTATGTTTTTTGTATAAAAGAGACTTTTTAACACGGACAAATTTGTCTCTCATTCCCCTCCACCTCTTCATGTACTCGCCACCTCTAAACCCACGTTTCCTGTCATTTCCGTCCACAAATAAAATGCCTGCTGTGTATCTTTTCACTCCTCCAGTCACGGGGGAATTAAACGTTCATATTTTAGAGTTTTGTAGCGAGGTATTCTTCAAGCTTCTCCGTGTCTGCCACTAGTTATTCTCGACTCTCTTTATGTTTTTGATGGCGCAATGACGGCGGTGTAGACGACACTGGTGCCCTGACCAATCACAAGCTTGCGCTGTCCTTCTCGACCAAGCCCCCACAATGCCGCTCAGAAAATGGTCCCATCCCGGAAGTAAGAAAAATTGCAGTTCCACCCTCATCCGCTGGGGGCTGGTGCCAGAAGCGAGCAAATCCTCATTGACTCCCATGTTAAAAATGCCGATTTCACAGCAGAAATAAACATGTTTACAGCCTGGTGCCAAAACATGTTTTTTGTCTAAATTATCTAGTTTATACTCATGACAACTCTGAGGGGGGTGAATTTTTTTCTCACTCTTCTGTTTAAGTGTATTGAAAGCCTAAAATTCTGTATAATTAATGAGCATCCGACACACGTGACCGCCGCCTCAGACCCACGTGACCACAGAGCTAGCTCCGTGGAAAGGCCTCAGTACAGCCTCGGTCTGGCTTGGAAACTGCTCCGGCATTTTGAGTCTCTGTGTTTGTGTATTCTTCTTTGGATATTATTGGTGCAATTGTTGGACAAAATGACTTGCAGTGGTATTAATTGCACTAATAGAGCGTCCAAGGAGTCTCCACTTCATTTTTTTCGGTAAGTTAAAATCTATATTCGTATTTTATGTCACTGCTGCCTTTAAACTAGCTGAGTTTACCGAAGTAGCTAGCTAACTATCAGTTTAACATGTAGCATGTACTGTTTAACCATGAAATTTAAATGTAAAATACGGTAAAATAATTAATAGGGCATATTTAGATGGGTAATAGGGTAAAACCCAGTGCATTTAAGATAAAAATGGGTTGAAATATGACGGAGCGCTAAGAGGGAGACTTCTGTGTCCATTCTTCCATCCGGTAATCCCCAGCGGTCAGGCCGGGCAGCCTGACCGATCCGGCGCCTACTTGCTGCGCCTAGCTGCTGCGCGGTCTGACCGCTCGTGGAGTTTTTCATGTCTGACTTTAACCGCATCTAATACTGTATTACGGCGTGAGCGCAACAGCGACAACTTAATATCGATGTGTAAGCAGCCTGAGTGGTAGGGTGTTTTCATCTGAACCCTTAAAACCTCCAGCAGGCTATGCTGCACTATTGACGTGTTAGCGCGCGGCGCTAACAACTTAGCAACGTGACATGTCTCTGAGAAAGCGTAAAACACGGACGCTTCTTCTGAAGCGGAAAATAACACCTCTTCTTAAGCAGAGCAGGATGTCGCCTCGGCTCGTTCACGGCCGAGCCGGACTGAGCTCGATAACATTGACCAAGCACAGCCACTGGGCCGTTGTAGCTGCCACCAGGCCTGCTGAAGGAACTCCAGCGGGTTTCATCAGACTCGTAAAGTTTCTTGTTTTTGCTGGGGATTTCTGTATTTTACCGCTCCCTCCTGCAGTCTTCCCCTATTAAAATTTAAAATGTGTAACTTTATGTATTGTGATGAATGACTAATATTCATGTAAAACTAAAACGTTAGGCATTTAGGGGGAAAAAACAAAATAATAAACATTATACAGATGTCAAATAAATCAAACTGTAATTAAACTATATATTTTCAAAGTCATATAGACAGCATGATGGTTTGTGTGATCCGCGCGGTTTCACTTACACCCCTTTAATGATCAGGCTGTTTTTTTATTATTTTTATCAGCTGATAGCAGTTAAAATTATGGTAAAAAATACTTTTATCTGTTTTTGATAACTTAATGCCCAGGAAGAGCATCTTCCTGGGCATTAAATATAACCCAAATGTTTTATTATGAGCAGATCTGATGAAGGTTTAGACAAGCAGTCTGCAAAGTAAAACTTGTTTAGAGTCCAAACTCTTACTAAAGCTTTTAAAAAGAAAAAATGGTTGAATTTTGAGAAATATTCACAACAGGGGAGCGAGACCTCTGAAAAATGTATATTTTCTCTGAATTCATAGAATAATGTGAAGATTCTGGGAAAAGTTGGGATTCTGAGATTAAAACGTAAATCTTTCTAATCATAATTCTGGCAGTTTTTGTGTCCTTCTGCTGTGGAAAGTCGTGCAACATGAAGATACTGAGAAGATGCTTACAACCTGTATTTTTATTCCATCCATAAATAAAATCATGAGCTATTTTTTTAATCCAAATTTGATACAAAGGGCCATCGTTGGTTCCAGACCCGTTCTAGAACATTCCTCTAATCTTAAAGTCATCATCATTTTCTTCCTTTTAACAAATATTTATTTGTTCAAATATTTAATATTTATAACTGGAATATTTGTTCCTCCCTTTCCCACTGCAGTTAGTCCTGTCCTGCAACCCTGTTTTTGCAGCTTAGTGAAGCCAACCATCACTAACCTGGGGGTGGTTTTGGACCCAGAGATGCGGATGGACTCCCACATTAGCCAGGTGGTTAGATCCTGCTTTTCCCGGCTTCGCCAGCTACCAAAGATGAAGTCCATCCTGAAAGACGTGTCATATTTTCTCCCCAAGCTGGACCTGACCGTCATGTATCGGTCCAAAATAGTGTGATGATATTGTGTTTTTTGTACATAACAGACTTTTTAACAGACAAATTTGTCGCATTCTCCTACACCTCTTCACGGGCTCGCCACAGTAAATATTCTATTTGGCGAGAGATAAACTTTATTGTATTTATCCTAGTGAATCTATAATTAAACGGGTAAACTAGTAGCACCACATCCAACATCAAAGAAAGTAAAATGTTACTATCAGGAGAGGGAGAATGTTTAAGTGGTTAGCAGCAGTGTGCTAGCCGATGGCCCCCTCCATGAGGCCACCACAGCTCAGCAGATCATCGTTGTAGCTTCTTCTGGGGAGAAAAACACTTGGAGAAAAAATAAAGTTAACAGCTGAAATAGCAGGAAATAATACAGTTAAAGAGCAGATTGTAGAAGAAAGAAACCCCTGGGTTAAACTGGTCTGTCTACTGCATAATGCTGAACTCTAACATGTGTCCTCAGGGAAGGACCTGATTGGTGTCCAGAACCTGCTGAAGAAGCACCAGGCTCTGCAGGCTGAGATCACAGGTCATGAACCTCGCATCAAGGCTGTCACCCAGAAAGGAGAGACCATGGTGGAGGAAGGTAGAGCAGGTCTGGTCCTGACATGTTTCTGAGGTGTCTGCAGGTTCTGGCTCACTTTTTTTGGGTCCAGGTCACTTCGCTGGTGAGGAGGTGAAGACTAAGCTGTCAGAGCTTCATGGACGTTGGGACACGCTAAAGGCCAAGGCGTCCCAGAGGAGGCAGGACCTGGAGGACTCTCTGCAGGCCCAGCAGTACTTTGCGGATGCTAATGAGGCCGAGTCCTGGATGAGGGAGAAGGAGCCCATCGTTGGAAGTCCAGACTAAGGGAAAGACGAGGACTTGGCCGAGGTATGGAAGTCCCTTCCTGAGAAACTCCAATCGCTTTTCTTTGCTCTCTTTCCAGTCCTTCATAATTAGTGTTTCTGTATTTGTCATTTCCTTCGGTTGTCTACCAGACATCGTTGCTCGTTTGAGCGTCTCATGGGTTAGGGGTAGAAGTGCTGGCCTCGCACAGGAAGTGATGACAAACGTGTTCCCGGCGCTCTTATTTCAAACGGTTTACAAGCTGTGATGTGTGTTCCCGCTGCAGAGCAGCCATGACACGTGGCAGCCGGCAGAAGGCTCACGCTTTTCCACTAAACACCCGCAGAGCTGCGTCTGCGGTGAACTGAGCAGGGTTTGTTTTACAGTGGCGGATCCGATTGGACCATCGCTGCGAGAAAGCTCCACTTGTGTCAGACGAGCTGAAGGTTCTGATGTTCTGCTCCACAGGCTCTCCTGAAGAAGCACGAGGCCCTGATGTCGGACCTGTCGGCTTATGGCAGCAGCATCCAGGCCCTGAAGGAGCAGGCCCAGTCCTGCAGGGTGAGTTCAGAGCCCTCGGCCCGTCAGAACATTCTTATCCACCACGTTCTAACACCAGACCTGTTAACCCGACAGCAACAAGATAATCAGCAGGTGCTTTTGTCCTGCAGGACCTGAAGGCCAACGAGTCCCGCCTGAGGGACATCAACAAGGTGGCATCTGAACTGGAGTCAGAAGGTCTGATGGCTGAGGAGGCTCCTATGGTTCAGGCTCAGGTGAGCGTCACCTGTCTGCAGCAGCTGGTCCCTCTCACTTCCTGGTTTGTTAACTCTGCTCGTCTCTGTTTGTAGCAACAAGAACATCTGGGTTCTGCTCCTGGAAAGGTGCATGTTGTCCTCCGCCTCAACCAGAACCAGACGTGGTGTTTATGTTACCACTCATTTGTTTGTTTGTTTGTTTGTTTACAGGACGAAGCCGACTCTTAACACGGCGTCACCCTGGAAGGTGAGTTCATTCAGCTGATCAGAGGTCACCTCTGATGGCAGCAGTCACGGCCGACCGTGCTGACATCACACAGGAATTCAGGTGACCCGGCAGGCACCAGGTGCTGGTGAAAGTGGGGACATGTCAGCTGGTTGCCATGGCTACAGTTATCTTTATGCATCTGTATGACTGCTGACTGGTGTGTGTTTCCTGTGACCTTTGACCTCAGACCGTACGGTTGGGCGTTCAGACGACGGCTAACTTTAATTCCATCAAGGTAAGAGGAAGCTCTTCCCTTCCTGTCTGAGCGATCCGTCTCCAGGTTTCCTCGTCCGGCGTCCAGCCCGCTGGCGTCCACCTTCATCTCACCTTCATCTCATCTCACTTCATTTATAGTGCAATACTTTCACATTATCATTTTCCCACACTTCTGTATACCTGTATTTTGTTGTTTTTCAATAAAGAATGACAAATTATTTAAGTTTGGTTTTTGTTGCACACAAATATATATCTGTAAAAAATATCTTCAAAGCTAATGTTTACATAACAAGTATGATTGGGTTTTGCAATACGGCACTCAAGTTTATTTTAGTAAGATTTTCAAACCAAGTAAAGTTAGTAAAGAACACATTTCTATTGTCTGCTAAGAAACTGTTGGGATTTAAAATGGGCCTGTTGTACAAATAACTTGTAAATGATTATTCCTCACTTTTGTCTTAACCAAAGAAATTCCAGTAATTGAGCAAAAACATTTATTTTTAACACTACATTTTATAAAACAGGGCACAGTGTCGGCACATGTATGTATGTCGATGGTCCGCCCCAACCGAACCAGGAGACACAAGACGTCAGGGAGGCCAAGGTTGTCTCTGCAGCTCTCTGGGCACCACGCCTCACTCAGCTGTCCCCAATGATCCAAATGGCTATGGAGAAAAAAAATTTAATAAAAGAATGAAACTTAAAAACTCCCAAACGTCATGTCATATTTACTAATCAGCTATGGCTGATTTATTGTTTGGATCACAGTGAGTTACACTAATTCTAATATATTTTTATTTCTATTATACATACATACTTTTTAACTGTTATTTTCACATGACTGTTATCAGGCTCTTGTTCTGGTTCTGATGATAACTCTGTGTCTTCCAGTAAGTTATCTTGTGCTTACTTCATCTGTATAATGTCTCTTTACTTTTGGTAAATTGTACTGAGTCCAGAATAAAGGCTAGCTGGCTGTACAAGATACAAACAAGTATTACGTTTTGGAAATATATGAAACACCGCCAGCATCTGTTAGAGCCTGTGGCGGGGTGCTGAGGGCCGGCTCCAGCCCAGGAATGAGCTCTACACGCCGGCCGGGAGGGTTTGAAACACCGCCATCCTCTCCTCTGCTGGCTGTTCATTCTGTTATGGTTACCGGTGCTTGTGTTGCAATGTTAAACGCTTGGTCTCGGATTTTGTAAGAAAGATAATAAAATGTCCCCCCAAAATACGACTTAAATATATTTTCTCTTCTTCATGATACATTTAATGGCTGGTGCGACTCAGGAGTGATAGCGCCGAAAAAAACTGTACTGAAAACTTGCTCAAAGCAAAATGTATTCATTACGGAAATAAATTATAAACTTACCGATTTAAAACTTTTTTAATACAGGTACTTCTCACGAACAGGCGCAGAAAACCTCCACCTAAACTCCGTGTGAGGTTCAGGTCGATGGGTGTTCCAGTTAGCTCCGGTTGGGTTGAAGCTAGGTGGCTACATCCGTTAGCTCGGCTCCCACCTCCGCTTTAGCTTTGGGTTAGCCAGGGTTAGCTTCAGGTTAGCTCGTAGCTAGTTCGCCTGGGTGTCGTCACTCGAGCCCAGCCTTACAGCCACACCCTCAGCGCCTCCTCTCTTCCCTTTTATGGAATTGTCTGGGCTGGACGGAACCTGTGACACGGTCAAAATGGCGGTGGTGGACACCTCCCATTATGGACAGATAACGTGTTATTGAAGCCTATGGAATCGAATTGTCCAGTATATGTACAGTCTATGTTCTCGACAGACGGATGTTTAGAAAAGAAAGCTCGACTCCGTCCGTCCTTGCGGAGCCCTCCAGCAGGTCCGCAAGGACGGATAATGGCGTTGTGTGTCTCCGCACTGACGCAGACGCAGAAGCATGAATCAGGCTTTACGTGTGACTTGCAAAGCAGCAACTTGGTCACACCTCTGCCCGGTACACACTGAGCTTTTTCGTTCATGGTAGACACATCTTTTATTGTTAACTGAGCCCTGATGAAGAACAGCAAACATGAGGGTTTTTAGGTTTAAGTCTGATTCTGGTCACCTAACTCAGCAGGTTTCTCCAGGCATTTGTCACTAGGAAGCGAATTCAGAGAGGTCCCAGAACATGTTGGAGAGATAAAAAAAAATTGTTGGTTTGGAGACACCTTGAGATCCTCCAGAAGAAGCTGGAGGATCTCTAGAAAGAGGGACAACTGCAATGCTTTCCATCACTGTTGTGTGGAGGAAAAACGGATGGATGGATCTTATTCAGCCTAAAATATTGTCAAACTGAAATCTGAGGGAGTATGCTAATGATGTTAATCTTTTCTCTGAATAATGATGAATAAAACTCTAACAAACCATGAGCGTCAATATAAACTCTATGATTTTATTGTCGAACAGGGGACTTAAAGGTGTGGATCACTGAAAAACACTTTTAATGATTACTTCTGATTATAATCGGTCACTCTGGGTTTTTCCTGCAGGCTTAACATGAAAATAGTCTCCTACTCCTATCTCTTGCGTTAACTTCTGATAGAAAATAGACGGGATTTGAAAAGCTTGACAGATCTACATAACGTTCATGGACTCACCGATCTTGACTCATGACAGGGAAGGATGCTGTTAGCATCCGGGCAACAGCAGAGAATATATCAACTAGTAAGAGGTAACCGTTAGCATTAGCATCTTCAAATTGCAGCAGAACTTTTCTGTTTTCTGTGGGGATAAAACATCAACGTTGCAAAGCAAACAGAGTCAGTGGTTAAGTCGTGTTGCTGTTATCCAATCAGAGGCGAGATATCCAAATTTCAGGAAATAATGGGCCATTCCCATCTGTACCGGGTCGGCCCGGGCCGGGTAGCCCCAGTCGGCCCCAGCCTGGCCCGGTTGATTCCACACATCCTTGTCTTAAGCCCATGTGGGCTGATTCTACCCACCAATCAGAGGCTTGCTCTAATGGAAGGTGTGAATGGGCTGATTCTACCCACCAATCAGAGGCTTGCTCTAATGGAAGGTGTGAATTTGCTGTCAGCAGTGGGTGTGTCGGCCCTGGTCGGCCTGAAGCAGACTCCCTCGAGAAGAGGGCTGAGAATGAGCCTTGGTTGGCCCGGAAAAATACCAGGCCACCCAGATATGTAAACAACCTACGCTACCCGGCCCGGGCCGACCCGGTACAGATGGGAATGACCCAAAAGAGTCTAAAACCTGCCGTCTAAAGCTACGTTCTCCTCCAGCTGAATTGTACTTCCTGATTCAGGTGCATCTGAGATTGTTTTACCCCTGGAGAGTGACTTACATTCATACCTACTAGAGACCACTACAAATATATTGATTAAACGAGTGATCCACACCTTTAAATAAATGGGAATTCTCTCAGAACAGACTTTTGCAAAAGATAATGGCAGAATCTGAAGCGAGAATGTTTTTATAAATTTACATCCTTTTCCATAAATACATTTATTTTGTGAAAATTGTTTAAGTGTTAGTAGATTATGCAAAATGTCCAGGGAGATTACACCTGACTGAGTCGCAGACTCAGATCAGAAGCCTGTGCTCTGAAAACGGCGACAGCAGATGATTAGGACGGTAAGTTTGTTAGCTTAGCTGTTAGCTGACATCGTATTAGTGGTTTGCTGTCAGAAGTCGCTGCCGCTTTCAGGGGAATTATTTTCTGGGATTAAATAGTGACTGGCTTTCAAATTAGACACTTCTTTTAAGAAGATGAGTGTTAAAAAAAACTATGGTGAGGTGACAAACTTACACAGATAGGAAGTGGGATAGTGAAGGGAGCTAAGATAAGAGGGATTTTTCTGCTTTAACAGTCTTGTCGGTTATAAATGCAACATTCTGCCGTGGTGCTTCATTCTCTAACTAAAGGTGTTACTGCAAAAATCACCATTTGCTCCAGTGAAAAACGCTGCTGTGCTCTTTGTAAAAACGTCTCTCCATTGTCTGTGCGGTGAGGTGATGACAGCCCCTTCCAGTTCAGACTCCTTTGAAGGTTTCCTGACGGGAGGCTTGGAGAAGCATGACGAATTGATTGGAAGGCTGCAGCCAACATGTCGCCAGAGTGTAAGTGAGGGTACTTAGACAAATCAGCAAGAAGAGGCCACGGCCTGAAGCAGCCGATACGGATACATGAGCTGGAGAGGCGAAAATGGGGATGCTAGTCACCTCAAAAACAAAATTAGAAAAACTTTGAGAGCAAAGTGAGGTAGAGCTGCTTTATTATAGTTTAAATGATTAAAAACAAAGTTATCTATTTCACTTAATAAACATCTCCATCCACAAATGCTGCCTAGATTACAAAGTCTTCAAAATCAACAATACTTTATGAATTATGAGTTATCATTTTACACAATTTTCTATATATTTTTTTCAGAATCTGATATTCTGTTGTTCAAAAATGTTTATTCTGAAAATTAGAAAGAAAACAAGGCATAATTTTAGGGTAAAACTAGCCTCTAGTTAGCTTTTAAAAGGCGTTGGTTATTTCCAGCGGTGTGGACTCGAGTGACATGACTTGGACTTGAGTCATTTTAATGACTTCTGACTTGACTTGATAAAATCTATAAAGACTTACGACTTGACTCGGACTCGAACGCCAATGACTTACGACTTGAATCGACTTGCATCTGTTGACTTGATGATGACTTGAGCATATTTGGTATTTTAGCACAAAAGTGGCATGACATGGACAAAAATCATAAATCATTCTTTGTTCTGGGTTTGATCTTGTACGGCTAAATGCAGCAGCACTTTGTTTAGAATCAGCTTCAGGTGCACTTTCTGCTTGTTTCAGCAAATAAATGAAGCTTTAATTCTGGAATGTATTTACTATCATTGTCATTAAATGGAAATTGGACAGATGACTTGAATGACTTAAAAATTCAAAGTTAAGGACTTGGACTTCCACATCACTGACTTTGGTCTCGATTTGGGAGTTGGTTGTCTTTGACTTGGACTTGACTTGAGACTTGACTGGAAAGACTTGTGACTTGCTTGTGACTTGCAAAGCAGCGACTTTGTCACACCTCTGGTTATTTCTAAATAATAAAAATGACTATGAGCTCTAAAAAAATCCTATGCAGGATAAATTCAGTGTATGAACATCATGCAGAAAATGTCTTGTTCTTGTTAAAACTTCAGAAGGATTACACACACACACACACACACACACACACACACACACACACACACACACACACACACACACACACACACACACACACACACACACACACACACACACACACATTCTGGTATCTGAGACACAAATGTCTATGATGAACAGTGTTGGGCATACTTCAACGTTCTTGATTTAATTTGAATAATTTCCTGCTCTTTCTCTCTCTAACCTTCCTGCATGCTGCATGTTTTCTCCATCTTCCAGAAAAACTGTTTCCTAGACTTCCTACTTTCTAACTAATCAGCCAAAGGGATCTTTCAAAAAAAAAATTAAATTAAAAGCATAATATGCGCTGCGCTCCAGCAGCAATGAGTTTAAATCACCGGGGCACAGATTATGAACTTAGCTGAAAAGTACATGAAGTACCAGAGAATATGGGCTGATATAAACGATCACAAACAAATTACTTTGTTTTGGTGGAGCGATTTTGTGAATATAACAGCGGCCCGCGAGCAGGACGCAGCTGGAGTATTTGAGCCATTACCGCTGCGTCCTCTCTGCTCACAGAATGCCCGCAAAGCCGAGTCCATAAATGACGTCATATATGTAGATACTGGATATTTTTTCAGGCTTCCCGCAATTTGAATTTTTAGGAAACCCACATCTTGATTCTGGGTTTAAAAGAGCATTGTAATTACCGCGTTACTGACAATTGTACCGAGTAAATATCACCATTTTCTTTCCCTGTAATGCCTTACATTACCACATTACAGCAAAAAGCAATGCATTACAGTAATTAATTACTTTTGTACCGCGTTAGTCCCAACACTGATGACGAATGAGATCTTACGTCAGTTTTAATCCTTGAAGCACTGACTGAGAAAAATATATTGATCCATAGAAATTGTCTT